TTTTTTCCCCCCCCCCCCCCCAGCTCCAGAACCTGTGACACTCTGGGAATATACCAGTAAAAAAAAAAAAAAAAAAAATCAGGAAATCCATGAGCTGTTCTGACCACCTAAGACAGAATACTGAAGAGTCTTGGGTGGTGAATAATCACGACAATATATTCACAGCCACATTGATAGAAAAAAAAAGAGGGGGAAAAAAATCAACCATCAGATACAATTTTTCATTAATAAGAGGGTAAAAAATTGAAAAAGTCAGTAATACCAAATGAAGGAGAATATGAAGAATTTCACACTTTTATATTCTGTTGGTGGGAATGTAACTTGATGCCACCTTTTTGGAGAGCAAATTGGTAATGTCTATTTAAAAATGTTAAATGATCAAGCAAATTGCAAATTTACCCTATAGATACACTTACAAAAATATACAAGGATATACAAACAGTAAGGAAGTTCACTGAAACATCATAATAGCAACAACAACAACAACAACAACAACAACAACAAAAAGTGAGGTCAGGGCCAGAGAATAACCTAAATGTTCATCAACAGGGGAATGATTAAATCAATTCTGGTGTATCAATATACTGGATAGAGCCATTCAAGAAAAATGTGGTAGAGAAAAAAAAACAAGGTGCAAAACAGTATATTCCATTGCCACAGCATTTTCAAAGGATACAAATATATATAGGTATATGCATGATCTTTTCTTCTTCTTTTGAAAGCACAAACAAGAAAGTTAACAGTGGCCATATGAGTATATGGGGAAGTTGGGACATGGGGTGACTTAACTTTACAACTTATATTTGTAAATTATTTAAGTTGGTTATTTGTATGTATTAATTTTATGTTAGTAACAAGTACATTAGATAACCTTTAATTAATAATTAAAATCTGTGGGAATAATATCTAATATGGTAAACTTTACAACAAAGCTACTGAGTTGTGCCAAAACATTATGGCTTAGTTTTGAATCATATTTTTGGCTATTCTAGGCAATAGCTGTATATACATAATTATGACTCCTGGAATGAATGACTGGTCTATTTCTCTAGCAGGGGTCTCCCATAAGGAATCAGATGAGCAGGCAGAGAATTCAGGAAGTAACCAGGCATGTAGGTCCTCAGAAAAGCAAGATTATATGAAGCTTGGCCTAGCCTGGGTAGCAGTTTTCCCAAGGGCTTAAATGAGCTTCATTTACAGGGAGTTTCCCCTCTTGAATTTCAATCTGAGCAATATCAAGCAAGGCTGAAGCCAGAATTGCTTCAATGCCACAAATCTAAATCAGAACTCTAAAAAGGTACATTAAAATCCATGAAAACTAAATTTGAGCAATGGTACTCTAGAACCCATGTGTAATACCAACGGGGAAAGGGGAATGAAAGAAATGAGAAGTAAAAATGTTTTCTCTCTCTGTATTTTTCCCCTGCTGGTGCATTACTAGATTTTCACTAGATTGAATTCAATGTTGACAAACTAGACAATATTTCTAAACATGAGAACAAAACTGAAATACTTAATATTCCCAATTTTAAGTCTAATTACAAATATGTTTAATGAGGATTCTAATGGTGCTTCCTATTGCTAAGTTTGAAGCCACCTTATTTGTCCAAATCTTCCTCTTAAATTCTTCAAAAAAAGGGCCCAAACCTTGAATTTATTACCAGTGAAAGTAACACAAACATTAGAATCTATTGCTAAGTTTGAAGCCACCTTATTTGTCCAAATCTTCCTCTTAAATTCTTCAAAAAAAAGGGCCCAAACCTTGAATTTATTACCAGTGAAAGTAACACAAACATTAGAAGTAAAGTAATTTGGGTTTCTTCTGTTAAAAAAGTATTGCTATGCTAACTCTTTACTTACAGCCTTAGGAGCCACATATCCACCAGGTGCCATGCCTATCCCTGTGGAAAGTTCAAATAGGTCATTCAGACCACTGCTGACCACAGCAGGAGTAGGTGAAGGAGCAAAGGTTGCAGGCACTGATGATGGGATGAAGGATTGTCCCACCTGCAGGAAAAAAAAAGGAAGGGAGGAGATCAGGAAGAACAGATCAATAGTCCTTAAAATGTTGCCATATATTTTAGCATAGATAAATTAACAAGAAAACACCATAATTACAATATTCTCAGGAGTCAAATTAGTATATTGCTTTGACTTTTTAATCATCACAGTTGTTTTCTCATCATTCATAAGATACACTCTTTAGAAGCTTTATCAAGAGAGAGCACTCAGTAGGATACAGGAACACAGTGATCCAAGATTTTGTCTGTTTGTTTCCAATTTTAGCTTCCATGATTCTGTGAAAAAGGCCTACAGGTACCTTAACAAAGGGGGAGTTTGCTTCTGTGGAAAGAGGGAGAAGCATCCAACTTAAACAGCAGTTCCATTCCCACTTGGGTTTGGTCAAGTCTTACTTCCCTGCTTAGGCATAAATATTTAGTAGGAAGCTCTCCTGGGGAAGATGGATATTCACACTCCCCAAACTAATTCACTTATGAGGAGAGTCTCACTGTGAGTCCAGCTGACTCTCTCAAGTTCTTTCTAGATGGCACCAGGGAATAAGAGCATTCTCCAGTCAAGATGGGAGGTTCCATTTCCTTTAGCTCTTTAATGTCAGAAAGACAAAGATCTCTATAGGCATCAGAGCACCAATCCCTAAAGATGTCCCTATATCACATGTGGTACATGACCCCAAAGACTCCAAATAACCCTATACTACTTTCTGCTCCTCATATACTATTATGGAGGTTTTGGTGTGCAGTGCTAGATAGCACCAGTGGCTGGTCTGGTATGTGTGCATAGGAAAAGCATCAAACAGGGGGCAGCGCTTCCCATGGTGAAAAAAACAGATGGCACTTACTGCCGGACTTCCTCCAATGCCCCCGCCAAGGTCACTGCCAAGCTGAAAGAGAGAAAGAAGAGAGAGGAGAGAGAGGTAGAGTTCATTTAGCTAAGTACTAGGTGCCCATATAGAATCTGTAAATTGATCTACCAAGTTGCTGGAAATACATGCCATTCAACTTGTCTCCCAAAGCTTAAAGAAATTCTAGATTGCAAAGAATTATGTCGTACGGGAACCAAATGGTGATAGTGATGGTCTGTGGGAGTTTTGAGAAAACTTGGAAAGAAGATGGAGCTGGGACATCTCAGAGATGTTTCAGATCCAGTCTTTCCACTGGGGTACATAGGCACAAACCCAAACAAGATTTAAAGAGTTTGCATATTCCAAGAAGTTCTATCCCTAAGCAGCAATGTTTTAAATATATTTTATTTTTTCTTTAAAAGGAAATTTAAGGGGGGGAAAAAGAAAAAGCAAAGAAAAACTAAAATGTGCTTTGATCTACAAAACCTTCTGTCCCACTGGGAACGTGGGAATCAAACCAGTATTGAACTGCAATTTCAAACCTCAAAAATTATAGGTGGAGCAAAAGTGATTTCTAGAGTTTAGAACATTCCTAAGAAAGAAAATAGGTGGGATAGGAAGATTTCCTACCTGGGGAGAAATGTAATGCTTCAAATCTCTCTCGCATCAATAATACTAAGGAGAAATGCTGTGATTTATTTAGAGTAGATTATTTAAAAGGATGTTGAGCATTAGAGAATTAGACTACCCAAATTAGCTAGCTGACAGGAAAATAATTCCACACGGTCTTAGTCTTGCTTTTTTTCAGGACTATGATATATACAATTCACCCTGAAGTCAGTCTGTAATGACAAAAACATTACACAAGAACTGAAGCTGCAAACAGCTGGCATGCAAGAAATACACATATACACAACTAATGGCACTGTTTAAAAAGCAAAAACTACTTTTTGTTGTTGCTACATTCCACAATTGCTTTCTCCCTAGTTGTCACTGAGCGTCTAAAACACCTCTTTGAAACATCAAATGCCTTGTCTGCTCTGAAAACACTTTTCTTTATTATCTGTCATTTAGTGGTGGAAACTTGCTGTGGTTGTGTTAAAAACAAAATTATACTGCATCTTCAGGATTAGGGAAAGAGGATTTATTTATCTTCTCAGTGAAAAGACAGTAGTATACAAAATGGTGTTGCCAAAATTTAAAATCAATCTGTATTCAAAAATAACGAGGCCTATGAAAAAATTCTGTTTCCACCATGACAGAAAATAACCCTGGCAGGTGCTTCAAAACTGTCAGTAGCAACCATGCACTACACTAAACTACAGAGCACTCCAAACCACAGAGCCAATAGTTCCAGAATCTGGTGCCTGAAGACTACCTAGTGGTTGGACATGGGACAAAAATCACATGCTTAAACAAACAAAAAGGTCATCCCAACCAAGAATTTGAATAATTGGAAAAGTGTGAAAGCAAATAAAAAGATATTACACATCTGCTTTCTCCCTGGCAGTAGAAAAGCACACATCTGCAGCATGACATCTGAAAAGCATGACATTCCTTCCACTCAAAACAAACACTTATATAACATTTATTACATGCAAGGCATCACAGGGGATGTAGAGATGCCAGGCAATGAGGGAACTATATAGATAAATAAGAACCAGGCTTTGCAAATTGGGTGGAGAAATAAAACATGAATGTAAAACCATGCAGAATACACTAAAACAAAAAAAGTTAGTTCTGAAGGGAAGAACTTTCTTCTAGCTAGAGGATAATAAAGAGAAGCTTCAAAGAGGTGGTGGTGTGGGATTATAATGAGAGAACTTATAAAAAGCTAAAATGAGGAGGGTCATTTCTCAAAACAACATGAACAAAAGGTAAAAGGCAAAATAAAAGCATGATCAAGAATAATGAGTAGTCCAGTTAGACTGAAGCACAGGGTAGATATTTGTTTAAAAAACAAAAAAAAGTACAAAATAAATTTGTAAAGGCAGCCTGATTAGGGAAGGTCTTTAATTTTTAATTTCCCCTTCATGAAAACCTGGAGGTTTCTTAGCCTAAGATTCAAATGTGTTCTAGTAACTGTGGTTTTCAAACTCAGATATACAATGGAATCAATCACCTGTGCGTGTGTGTTGGTGGTGGTGGTGGGGAGGTGCTTTAAAAATAGTGATACCTGAGTCTTACTCCCAGAGATAGTGATTTAATCATTCTGAAGCACAGCCTGGGCATCAAAATTTTGAAAAGCTCCTTCAGTTGATTCTAATATACAGTCGAGGTTGAAAACATTGCCTTAAAAAATTAACTATGATTTGGAGTTAGACAAGATTCATCTGTTCAGAAATGACTTGGAGCTTACTTCTGAATTAAAAGGAAGCCAAAATTTGAGCAGAAAGAAAAACCCTTTCTAAAGGAGAGGAAAGGCTAAGTTCAAAAATAATGGAAGGAAACCTATAAAATGTCTCATTTGTCCTGATACTTTGATGTGTGATGACTTTCTGGAAGGCTTACCCACCATCTCCCCCAACCATTATCACCTTCTGAACAGGCTCACAATCCAAGCTTGAACGAGAATTCTTTATGGACCTGATTGGTACTTGATGGCAAGAAAGAAAAAACACACTAGAAAGGAAATAGCAGTTTTACCTAATATGCTAAATTCAATTAAAAAAAAGGTACTCACTGGTGGTGTTTAGACCAAAGCAAATAAAGCCCATTTACAGCCTGTATTTTTTTAGATTTCATTCTTTTTATCTTTGAATATTACGTGAATATTAGCTGGAAAAGACCTAAATGCACTTGCCCTCATGCTGCTCATCAATTTTATTCAAAACCATGGAAGAAACTTGAAAAACAATCCTGACACTCCTTTGTTTATGTTCAGTATATCAGATACAACCCAATGAGAATCAAGAACTCTGATCTGACACAGACATAGCTCAAAAAGTATCAGAGACACGTAGCCAGCGATTAAAGGTTCACCTAATTGTGCTATGTCCAGAAAGCAAACGAAAAGAACAATTTCAACATGTTTTCTAACTATCAAAACTATAGCTTATTCAGACTTTATTCATCATCTTTCTTCTTCTTCTTTTTTTTTTTTTTCTTTTCCTTTTTGTCTTTTTTCGTGACCGGCAACGGGATCGCAACCCTCGGTGTCGCACCCGCACCTCGCTCAGCCAGTGAGCAGCCGGTCTGTATGTGGGATCCGAACCCTCGGCAGGAGCACCGCCGCGCTCCCAAGCGGTGCACTGTAGCAGTGCGCCACCAGGCCGGCCCATCATCTTTCTTCTTGACTGGAAAAGATTCTAAGGGAGGTTCTCCTCCTCTCTGAAAATATGGCAAGGTGATAGCACAATGATGGGCATGAGTGACTACTGGGGAGATGTCAGCAAGGATGGAAGCCAATTACCCAGTGAGTGGCCTCTCCTATCTACAATGACAAACAGGATGAAGCAGATATTAATCAAGAAAAAAAGAAAGCTAGAAAACTGAGCAAATACCCAGGAAAGTTGTTGTAAATCAGCCTGAACTAGACATTAACCATTTCAGTTCAGTTACTGGTATTACTTACAGTCAAGTGGTGCACTGTAGCAGTGCGCCACCGGGCCGGCCCATCATCTTTCTTCTTGACTGGAAAAGATTCTAAGGGAGGTTCTCCTCCTCTCTGAAAATATGGCAAGGTGATAGCACAATGATGGGCATGAGTGACTACTGGGGAGATGTCAGCAAGGATGGAAGCCAATTACCCAGTGAGTGGCCTCTCCTATCTACAATGACAAACAGGATGAAGCAGATATTAATCAAGAAAAAAAGAAAGCTAGAAAACTGAGCAAATACCCAGGAAAGTTGTTGTAAATCAGCCTGAACTAGACATTAACCATTTCAGTTCAGTTACTGGTATTACTTACAGTCAGGTTCATCTGTTTGGAAATACTCTGAGCTCATACTTATTGGGTAGGGTACAAAATCAGTCAAGCTAGGACTTGTAAAATCCAGAATGATATGTGTTATCCCACGAGCTGGTGGGAACCAGGAGTGAAAAGGAGTAAGCGTGCAGGGCATGGCTTTAACCCCAATTTTAGGTGTCCACATATTGTGTTTTAACTGTCTCTTGGAGTTGTACACTTCCCATTGTTCCCAGGATTGCCTTACTGAGGCTGCCATTTTTTCCATAAAAAAATGTCAACTACATCAAAAACATCAATCTGTGTTTTTTCTATCAGGGTTTAGACTTTAGAAGGCACACAGCATCTCCTAAGTGAAAGCATGGTTTTCAGCTATTGGACTGCAAATTTTAATCTGATCTTCAAAAAGCTATTCAGAAAAGGATCATAAAATATAACTAATCAAATTGGTGAAAAGACTCTGTAACCATGCAAAAGCTATTAAACACTGCTGGTTAAGAGTAGGCTTGATATGGAATAGTATACATGAGTTGAAATCATACAAAAGCATCAGAAAATCCCTAACTTGAGCAGGAAAAGGTTTCTATCAACAGAAGAGTAGGGGGCTGTAACAGATTATTTCCTGATATGGGATAAAAAGTCCTTAGAATGACCACTACAGGTCTGTAGGTAAGACAGAACTCATTGTTAAACACAGCAAAAGCCACAGGAGAAGCTCTGCATCCCACCTCATTTTCCTTTACAGCATTTACTACTGCACTATATACGGATTTATAATTTGTATCCCACCACTGGAATGCAAGCTTGCAAGGACTGTTTTGTTCACAACTTGTATTTCTAGTACACAGAATGGAGCCTAACATATAGTAAGACTCAAATATTTATTTATTGAATGAATGAATGTTCTAGTAACCATATAAGTATGGCTACTGGCAATATTTCTTGGGAGACAATTTTAAAATGAACCATTTTATTGAAGAAAATAATCACCAAAAAGATAGAAGGCTGACAAAATTGTTTACCAATTGGCCTAGAGCACAGTATCTGTATCGACATTGCCAACACATATGAATAGAACCAAGAGTGGGGAATAAACTGCCCCCCACCCCCCGCCAAAGCCCTTTCTAGAGA